CAGGCACAGTCCACAGACTCAGAAAGGCTAGGTCACAAGGAGGGCTCAAGGGGAGATGCTTAGGTCTCCCTGGGAGGGTGTCAGGGAAAGTATTAAAAGAGATGACTGTAAAAGGGGAGCATTTGGGGGTCAGGTAGAAACCTGGTGCAGGAAAAACTCCCAGAAATCTACAAGATGACCCAGCTAAGACGCCTAGAAATAGGAGATACGTAGCCTGAACTGGCTGTCTCCTGTGATCAGGCAAGATTTCCAAAGGAGGGAATGGGAAACCAACCCAGCCACATAACCTTCTACCTACCTATCTGTCCTGCCTGTGGGATGTGTTTGGGGGTAAGGGTGGCACAGAGATTGAGGGAGTGGCCAACCAGTGACTGGTCCAGTCTGAGACCATTACTAGGAGATGGAGCTCACCCCTGACACTACCTGGAGGGCCAGGACCTAGAGGCTGGGCCATCCAGAGACCTAGGACAGCACCGCACATGATCAGAGAAAAAGAAAGCCCAAGGAACAATGCTATACTCATAGACTGGTGCCTACCCCACTTTTTATCGGAAAGTCTTCATCCAGTAACTGATGGAAACAGATACAGAGACCCACAACCAAACATTAGGCCAAACTGAGGAACCAGAGGGGTCAAGAACATTGTAAGAAAATCCACGGAATCAACTAACCTGGGCTCATAGGAGCTCACAGAGTCTGAGCTGACAGCCAGGGAGCCTGCGAGGAACTGACCTAGACCCTCTACATATGTGTGACAATTGTGTAGCATCATCTACGTGTGGGACTCCCAACGATGGAAGCAGAGGCTGCCCCGAACACTTTGGCTGGATTTTGGGAACCGATCCCTCAGACGGGGTTGCCTTGTTCAGCCTTGATACAGAGGGAAGGAGCTCAGTCTTATTGCAGCTTGACGGGTCACATGCTGTAGATATTCATGCGAGGCCTTCCCTTTCTGGACAGGGGCAGAGGGGCGCTCAGGAGAGGGAAGCGAGGGGGAACTGTGGTCAGGATGTAAAATAAACAAATTAAATAAGAAAAACCCTCTAGCTGCTCTTCCAGTGGACATGGGGTTTGATTCCCAGCACCCGCATGGCAGCTAACAACGCGTCCTACTTCAGTTCCAGGGGACCCAACACATCTTCTGGCCTTTGTGAGCAGCAGGCAAACGCCTGGTGCAGAGACATACATGCAGGTAAAACACTTACACATGTAAATTACTTTTAAAAAAATCTAAAAAACTGGTTCATTAATTAAATAACATTTAAAACTATATCTTATCAAAAAATGAAGCTTCTTTTTGCATCAGATGAAGACCAACCTAGAAACCCACAACTGGCTAAAATAAAAACTGACCAGCACCAGCTGGTATATCTACAACACAAGCCCTACACTGGAGGCTCAGGGAACACGGCAGGAGGGGGCGTGGGAAGCTTGGAAGAGCCAGAAGCCTAGGGTGTCTTCTGCAAGCAAGCCTGTCTTCTGTATATGACAGGGAGGCTACACCCGTGACATCTCAACAATATGGCTACCTATGCAAGACCCACACAATGACAACAGTTGACATGCCATCTCAGGAGGCCCCATTCCCACAGCTAAAGGTGATTGATAGCTGTCAAGAGAGGGAGGTAGACCACTTCTCTTTCTCATTATAGGCTCACTTTTCTAGTTGCTTCTGTTCTGCTCTCAGCTCTCACACATCCTGAGTTAGCGGAAGCATTGTGACCCTTCCTGAGTCATATTGGTCATATTGACGCATATTTGTGGCTCAGATCAACATCACTCATACTGATCTGAACTTTACTTTTCTGATGTCTTCCCATGGTCCTCGCTCTGGTCTCTGAAGCTACCCAAGATAAAGAAGAAATCATGCAATGCATATACTGGAATATTATTGTCTTAGTTCGGGCTAGCTCGGGTTGCTATCACAGAATATCACAGGTTGGGTTGTTGAAATAACAAGAATCCATTTTCTCATGACCCAAAAGAAGGAAGTGAGATACTCGGAGCCAGCACAGCAGGTCCTAGGAATGGAGATAGTCACCTCCCCTAGTAAGTGCTCACATGTAGGAGGGACAGCACCCCCCCCAGACCCTTTTATGAGGACATTCATCCTGACCTCACCTAAACCCAGTCACCTCCCCCATACCTACCCAAACCCCATCATATTGACATTTCTACAAAGACGATAAAGACGAAGATTGCCTTCGACGGCCGCCCATTTCTACCCCCAATCAAGAAAAGCGCCTTTCCTGAACTGTGTGTAAGGCTTAATTTGTTTCAAAACTGCTGGGCAGATCTGGAATCTACAGTGAAGGGTCCTCTGTCCTCCCTGGTGAATGCAGTCGGTAAGTAAATTAAACCGTTGACTGTAAATTAAACTCTCAGCCAAGTTCAGCCATCTGACAGACTGTCCTCCCCCCCAGAGACGGTCTGTGTAGCAAACCAAAAATGGGGTGCTCCTTGCACCTGTGTGTGAGGCAGTTTTCCCACAAGAGCGTGGGTCAGCACTGCCTGCAGGCTGGGCACCGTGGAAAGAATGTGTCTAAGTATGTTGGCTCCCACTTGGGCAGAAGTAGCTTCCCAGTAGAGAAGCTCAAAACACAACACGTTAAGTTGGTAAGACTCTTAGAGCTGAGCATGGTGGCACACATCTATAGTCCCAGTGTTTGAGTGCCTGGGACGGAAGGATCGCAAGTTTGAGGTCAATTTAGGCTGTGCAGCAAGCCTCTATCTCAGAAAGAAAAACAAAAGTTGACACAACTATCTGTGGTGGAAAAAATGTTCTCAGCAGCACCCAGACTTCAAGTTTCCTTTCGGAGCAATCGGTACTTGGACCTTTCCCTGTGGGCCCACTTATGAGGACCTCTTGAATAGAAATTGTGAGTGTGCCTCTCTAGAGGAAGAAGCTGAAAGAGGTTAATGCCCACCTAATATCAGTTAGGGAGCAAGGTCAAAAGTCAAACTCAGGTTTCCTTCCCTAGGACTGGACTTCTCATGATAAGTGTATAAATTAAAACCCAGGCAGTGGTGGCGCACACCTTTAATCCCAGTACTCAGGAGACAGAGGCAGGTGGATTTCTGTGCATTTGAGGCCAACCTGGTCTACAGACCAAGTTTTAGGACAGACTCTAAAACTACAGAGAAACCCTGTCTCAAAAAAAATCACACAACAAAAAACAAACAAACAAACAAAACCCAACAAGCAATACTGAAAAACAATTGGCCCAGCACAGCCTGGACATGCATACATGGTCCGCACTGACTCCTGAGAGACTTCAGGCTTTAATATCCAAACTATGGCCCTCTGCCTGGATGGGGAGGCTCCTTATCACGGAATCACCTAGCTGGAAGGGATGGAGATACACAGAATAGCAGGACTGGGTGGGGGACTGGAAGGTTGTGGTGGATCAGATCGGCAGCCTCGTGTCCTGCCATGGAGCTGAGGACTGGACAGAGGCGGAGCTGTAGTCGGAGACTGCTTGCTCGTTTCTCCACTTCTCAGACCAAAATAATCACACAGAATCTATATTCATTCCAACACTGTTCAGCCAAAAGCTTAGGCATATTCCTGGGTAACTCTTAGATCTTAAATTAATCCATTTCTATTAATCTGTGTATCACCACAAGGTTGTGACCTACAGGTAAAGTTTTGGCTGGCAACTGGAGGCTTTCTCCTTTGGCAGCTACATGGCATCTCCTTGACTCTGCCTACTCTCTTTCTATCTCTGTTCGAATTTCCCTTGCCATATGCTGCCCTGCTATAGGCCCAAAGTAGATTCTTTATTAACCAATGGTGTTCATAGCATGCAGAGGGGAATCCCATATCACAGAGCCAAGTGTCTCACTAAGGCAAGGACTCAATCCAGCTCATGTGAGCAGCCTGAACTTCAAAGAACAGCCCTTCCTTATCAAAACACAGACCCTGTGAGATCACAAAAAGCCTACTTTTAGTTTCCTTTAAGATTTGTGTGTGTGTATACGTGCATGTATATGTGTGCATGTGTGCATGTGTGTATGTGTATGTGTGTGTGCATGAGTGCATGGGTGTGTGTGCACATGAGTGTGTGCGTGTGTGCGTTTGCACATGTGTGTGAGCGTGTGTGTTCGTGTATGTGTGCGTGTGTGTGCATGTATGTGCACGTGTGTGTGTGCAGTACCCATGGAGGCCAGAGGTTATCAGTTCCCCTGAAGTGGGAGTTACAGGCAGTTGTGAACTGAACCAACAGCCTCAGGAAGAACAACAAGTTTTCTTAACCACTGAGTGTTCCTCCAACCCCAACAACCATGCTCTGATAGGAAGGCTTCCTGAATTGATTACACTGTGACTTTATAGAATAAAAAATGAGTCATTTTCTTTCTCGCCAAAACATTGCTTCCAGTTGTTGCAGTTTGAAAAGAGTCTCGCATCTTAGGTACTCATTCCCTGGCTGGTGGCATCACTGGGGAGGCTGTGGACCATTTGGGAAAGTGCTACCTGGCTATTGAAAGTACGGTCCCCTAGGCATGATGGGTCCAGCTGGTGTCGGCTTCCTGTTCCGCCATGATGGAACCATCTCAGCACATGCTCCCACAGGCATGAGCGTCATGCCCTCCCTGCCACGGTGGACTGAGAGTCACAGTAAACATGCCTTCTGTTCCATTGTGTTCATTGCTTTGGTCATAGTGATGCAAGCAGTACCTGGCTGTCTTGGTAACCCAGCCCTCTCCCCAAGTTGTTCAGTCCCCTGGTTCTTCTCCTGAGATCACCAGTAATGTGGGAATCGAGTCTGCCCTTTTGTTGCACCTTCTTCAATGAAGTTAAATCGGGGATATAAAAACACTGCTTTTCATGTAATAGGAATCTAAAATTGCATGCCACGCCAACTACTTGTTCAAATGGATATTTTACTGCTAAATAACAAAAATATCTTAAAATGTAGATGTTCAATATGAAAAAAATTAAGAACCCAAAAACCCATTGCATCAGAAGATGCATTTTCCATCCCCAGAGGGACTCTTACCTGGGCTCCCTGGCGGCCCCCACAGTCTTGATCAGTGCTGGCTAGCCTCCTGGTTTCAGCAGCTGGCGGCCAGGGCCTGGGGTTCATCACTGCAGAGAGAGATTGGAGCGTTATCAACAAGTCAAATCTGTAATTGTATAAATGTTCATTACCCTATATGCAGGAAAAGTGTGACTTCATGTTGAGACTGGCTGCTTAATGTTGAAAATACAGCTCTGCCGGGCAGAGGTGGCACAAACCTTTAATCCCAGCACTCGGGAAGCAGAGGCAGGTGGATCTCTGTGAGTTTGAGGCCAGCCTGTTCTATAGAGTGAATTCTAGGACAGGTTCCAAAGCTACACAGAGAAACTCTGTCTCAAACCTCTCCTTACCAAAAAAGAAAGAAAGAAAGAAAGAAAGAAAGAAAGAAAGAAAGAAAGAAAGAAAGAGGGGGGGGGGGAGGGAGGGAGGGAGGGAGGGAGGGAGGGAGGGAGGAAGTTCAGTGTCGGAAGAGATTGTTCCTTTGGGTATAAAACTAAAATTTACAGATTTTTCCTCTATGTAAGACTCATCTTTGAATTTCAGCATTCATTTATAGAGTCAGTGTATGTAAGTGATAATAGGTATCTTTATTTATTGAGCTAGGTGCGGTGCTCTACACCTAGTAGAATCCCTGGCACTCGGGAAACTTAGAGAGACCTTGCCTCTGAAAACTGCTTGAAGTCTAGTGCCGGGGTGGTACAGACTCCGAGCTGGGGGTCCGTCGAGGCAACCTAATGAGACTCTGCGTCAAAATGGTTTATTGCTGTTCTTTCGTTTTGTTGTTGTTTTAAATAGAGAGCTGAGGCTGTCGCTCAGTGGTAGAAGACTTGCCCAGCAGGCTTGCAAACCATGATATCAGGTCCCCTGGAACTGGGATTACAGACAGTTGTGAGCTGCCATGTGGGTGCTGGGAATTGAAACCCCGTTCTCTGGAAGAACAATTAGTGCTCTCTCTACCACCCCCACACACACCTTATTTTTAAGATAGGTCTCTCAGTGCCCAGGAGCTCACCAGCTCAGCCAGCCTGACTGGGCATTGATCTTTATGGACGGTTGGTCTCCATCTCCTTTTGGCTGGGATTCTGTGCTATTTCCACACTTGGCTTTTACACGACCTAGTCTGGAGACTGAATCAGGCCCTCTTGCTAGTACAGCTGAGTCAACTTCCCAGCCCCCAGCCCCACACGTCTCTTTTATAAAATATGGATCTATGAAATATGGAAATCATTAAGGGCCAGGAACAGCTTTGACAGCAGTCACATTTCTAAATTGACCTTGTGTTGTTCCTTTTGGAGACTACAACTCCCAGAACCCTCCTGGATTACGGACACCAACACGCTCAGGCGCAGGGACACTTCTCCCAGATACCCTTGCGCTTCTCGTTAAAAGCAGGCTTCCACGAGCCCCCCCCCCCTTTTTCCCCTTCCACCCTCTTGTGTCAGCACACCTGCACCTTACCTGTCGCCCCTCCCCCATTAAAGTGCACCCACGTGGGAGCCACATGTCTGTGTCTCCTCCTTAACCCCGCTCCACTGTGCGTGTTTCATCTGTCTCGTGTTTGTCTCTACCCTCCACACTCACCCGCTTTAAAAAGAATAATACCAGCCGGGCGGTGGTGGCACACGCCTTTAATCCCAGCACTTAGGAGGCAGAGGCAGGCGGATCTTTGTGAGTTCGAGACCAGCCTGGTCTACAAGAGCTAGTTCCAGGACAGGCTCCAAAACCACAGAGAAACCCTGTCTCGAAAAACAAAACAAAAAAAAAAAAAAAAAAAAAAAAAAAAAAAAAAAAAAAAAAAAAAAAAAAAAAAAAAAAAAAAAAAAGAAAGAAAGAAAAAGAATAATACCTTGGAAATGCATTTTTTTTACCTTCACCCAAAGGCATTTTCAACAGTGAAAACAGTTTGTGAACTCTACCTCCTGTGAACTGTTTAAAACTGCTTGCCCAAGCCGCATGGCTTTCTGTGCTCATGCAGAAAGACTTACAGCCTATGGGTTTCCCCAGACTTCAGTCCTGATGGCAGACGGACAGACAGCTCACTGTTGAAAGCTGTACCACCCTGCGTCAGTTGGTCCACCCTCAGCAAGTCTCTCCCTCCCAGGCAGTGCACACACAGACACAGGCAAAGCATCCTCCCCTCCGGCACTCCACCCGTCTGTCACATAACTGCACACTCGGTTCTTAGCAAGAAGTAAACAGTGAATAGTTATCAAAACGAATTTCTTCACTCTGGTGAGAGAGGTGGGAAGCCCTGGCAAGATCCAGGGGGAAAAAACTCCGTAATTCTCCATCCCCGGTTCCCGGCAGTGCCAGCTCTGCTCACTCGACAGAAAGGAAAACCTTACCCACCTTAACCACTTTTCCTTCCTGGTGCTTACTTTATCACCAAAACCTTTGTCTTGTTACTAAAGTTATTAGAAATCAATACAACGTTTAAATCTTTGATCACAGCTGAAAGCCAGACCACAGGTCACTTCCTAGAGCCATCTGCTAAAGGTAACAAACATCCCCAGTGTGGAGAGAAAAGAAATATACAAACACTTAAATCTTATCTTCTGGAGTTTTTCTTTAATTCCCACGCCAAGAGCTTCCTCCTGAACCAGCTTCCAGAAATCCTCATGGTCAGTCATGTTCTTCAGAATCCCACTTTTGGTCAGCTCATTTTGCAACCCTGTAATCTTATTTTCAAGGAGAACGGGTATATAAATAAACACACACTGCACTCTGACGTTTCTAAAGGCAAACCCTAAGGTGAGTGAAAATGGCAGTCCTGTTTCTAAAGACCAGAGCGCCTTCTGGGTGACTTTGGCTTACCTCAGCTCAGCGTCCTGGTCACACTGACACAGAATTAATACCACCCATCACATGTTTCAAGTTTTCTGTCCGAAAATTCATTTGCATTTCAACAGTTAAAGGGAACAATCAGAAGGCAGGCAGTCCAATTTCTTTCTTTTTTTTTAAAGGCTAATTAGTAGTAGCCAGAAGTTGACCCTAGCGGATTCTTGCATGGGAGGAGGGCCGGTCTGGGCATCAGGAGGAAGGTCATTGCTGTCCTGTGTGACCACCATTCTCTATCCCAATTGCCACACAGGAATTCGTTTGCCTTAAGGCACACTTGCCAATTTAGCATAAAGGCGGCCTCAGGACTCACCTTCTCTCAAATAAAGTTTTGCTACATAGATACAAGGATCTGTCTCTGGCCAGTTCTGACATATAGAGGAACAGCTGCCTCCAACACTTGGCTGAGGAGAGGCCTCCCAGGGTCTCAGAGACCCAGTTTGGGATAGGCAAAACCACTCGTGTACTTAGTTGTAAGAGGTTTTTGTATGTGATCTTGAGAGAAAGGCCATTCCTCCGAAGTCACTCTGCACCCAGAGATTAAGCCCTGCACTTCCTGGGTAGCCTTAGGTAAGTGAGTCTCTCCTGGTACCTGGCAGACACAAAGCTTAGCCTGAGTTCATGACACCTACACAAGAGATGCCCTGCAGGGGACATGCAGGGGACCAGTGCAGGGGACCAGCGCAGGCCCTCGTGCAAAACAATGTGTCCTGGGATTTCACAAACCCAAGAATAAAATAAAATCGGCCATGCATTGCCCTCTAGCTAGGGGACTGTTCTGGTTCATCAAAATGCAGCTTGTTCCACGGACACCGTCCCCACCCGGGTCTCACTTCTGACGCAGAAATGGCAGGTCAGTTAAGAACTAGTTTTCTGTGGAGACTGGACAGTCTCAGATTCAGGCAGTGGCTCTGTAAGGGGAGACCTTTTACCCCTCTGCAGGAAATACTTAAAGGACCCAAGGCTAAGGAAATCCCTGCCAACTCAAGTCTTAGAACCAGGCTCAGAGGCCCGGGGATGTATAGGGTTCGTGTTTCCTGCCCCAGCTCCTAAGCAGGTAGGTGACAGGCGGTTGTCTCTGCTGGGGAGCCTTGTGGCAAAGGTTCGCCTGGAGCGTCAGGGGATCTGGTGCCGCTCTCCTGGGCCTTTGGGATGCCCGGTGTTGCTCCTGCTCAGAGAACCGCACACCAGGGGTCCTGTCTTACCAGGTAGGTGTTGGACCTTGGAGGGAACCGGGTTGAGGCCTTGGGCGGGAATGCTGGCGGGGCTTCGGGCTGTGCCTGCAAACAAGCAAAGAAAAGTGGTGAGCTGGGCAAGCAAGGTCCAGGAACAAAGCCGCGGGCACAGAAGTAAACAAGCAGCCACAGGAAGCCATTAAGCAGAGTGGGCGCTAATGAGCGCACCGCAGGGCCCTGCGCACCCGCCCGGCCAAAACCACCAGGGACTGCCTCTCCCGGCAATTTGGATCCCAGAGCCCTGCTGGCAGGCCATAAACCCGTTTGTAGTCTCCACCGGTTCCCCCTTTAGATTCCGCCTTCAAGTTTGGGTCGCTAGGGATGACAAGAAGGGCCCTGGGATGCTGTGATCTCTTCTCAGGACCCGCAGTTGCTGGGGGCAGATGGGCTCCCAACTTCAAGGTAAAGGGCTACCGGCCTGCCTCCCACCCTCAACCTTGGCTGGCCACGGTGGGAGACCAGGGGTGTTGAGCCCACCTTCCAGAGTCTGCTGAAATTGTTTCTCGTTTTAAAGGAAGTCATTTGACTTCCCAAATGTTCCGCAAGTTGTAAAACGTGCTTCCAAGCTGCTCAAAGGACCACTGGCTTATCTGAAATTTCATATCATCTACTCCTGGGCGTTGGGCTAGCGTTCTACGGCAGGGGTGCGTCCCGGCCTCCGGCAGGTTCTGGGGCGAGGACGTTCGGGGGGGGGGGGGGGGGACCACCTGCCCACGTTCCAAGCATCCTGAGAGCTGCTGGTCCTCGTACCTTTTGATCCCCGCAGCAGCGACACCCAGCGGCCATCCCTGGTACCCAGCGCAACCTCACAGGTCGTTCTCCAAGTCATTTCCCCAGACCACACACAGAGGGGGGCTTAGGAATTAATTCCCTTCCCTAGATGGCTCAGAGGTATGTGGGAGAGGCAGCTGAGGATACGTTTCAGGCCGCTCTTAGATGTTTGTGCAGATGTTCTCTTAGCACTACCTGGAACTTGTTAGAAGGAGGTGTCATCTAAGTAGAGAGATCGTCATAAATACTTTAGTCAAATTTGAAGACCACAAATCCCTTTAAACAACTCCAGCAGGACCTGTGGTAAAGGGTGTTTCTTCCTGCTAATCAAGTCTGCTGCCCCCTGGGGTCCCAGGGTGAGTGTGTGCACACTTGCCTCCACTTTCATGGTCCTGGCAGCTCATTTTGCTCAAAAAAAAAAAATCGAGTATATTTTCATTTGCATATTTCACGTGCCATTCACTCAACATTACTACCAATTTGTAACGGAATTCCTGATACACTGACTCTAACTGAACTCAAACCTAAAACACAGGGATTTAACAATGGCTCCAGGATACGGGTTTCAGTTGGTGGAGTAGACCTTAAATCCAATCAGAAAATGGTTGGTCGCTCCCGTACATAACGTCTGTTCCAAGATTGCACCCGTGGTCTTGTCTTGCCGGAGTCGTTACTATGGATCGCAGGGTTCTCAGCTGCCTAAGATGAGTGATTACCTTTCTCCTGGTCGGGTATGAACGGCACCTCCCCTCCGTGACAGCCAGGAGGGATGAACCTTCTAGCATGGATTCTCCATGGTTTTTTAAGATGTATTTTATTTTATGTATGAGAGTTTGCTTGCATGTATGTCTGTGGACCGCATGTGTGCGGCGACCACATGTGTGCAGACCTGTGGATGTCAGAGAGGCTGCCGCATTCCCCGGAGCTGGAATTCCAGAGGTGTGCGTGTTAACTGGAAGAGCGGAGTACTTTTTATTTTTTAAAAAAGTTTTTTCTTAAAGATTTATTTATTATGTATACAGCGTTCTGCCTGCTTGTATTGTCTGTAGGCCAGAAGAGGGCATCAAATCCCACAGATGGTTGTGAGCCATCATGTGGTTACTGGTAATTGAACCCAGGACCTCTGGAAGAACAGTCAGTGCTCTTAACCGCTGAACCATCTCTTCAGCCCCCAAGTGGGGTGCTCTTAACCATGGACCTGTTTCTCCAGCCTCTCTCTATGTTCTATAACTCAGTATGTGGTTGGTGTCTTAAGAATAGGGTCTCACTGTCTCAATCTGGAAGATGACGGAGAGTACTGGCATAGCCCCAAGTGTTTGTGGGTTCCAGATCACCATCATGGCCCATAGTTTGTGGGTCCAAGTGTCGAAGTGTTTGTGGGTCCCAGATCACCATCATGGCTTATAGTTTGTGGGTCCAAGTGTCGAAGTGTTTGTGGGTCCCAGATCACCATCATGGCCCATAGTTTGTGGGTCCAAGAACCAATCTGAGTTATTAAATCTTTGCCATGTATAGAGGTTTTAGAGTTATTTATTTTACTTTGTTTTGCTTGCATGCATGTATATATGTACCACGTATATGTCTATTGCATCTCCTCCAACTTCGCTTACAGACGGTTGTGAGCCACCATACAGATGCTGGGAACCAAAGCCAGGTCCTCGGCCGAGAGCAGCGTGTGCTCTTCCCCTCTGAGCCGCCTCTCCAGGCCCTGCCATGTTTATTTTTTATTTGTGTGGGAACTGTTTTCAGCTTTGTGAATAGTGTCAATTAGAGGTCCTGGGATTGCAGAGTTTTCATGCCTCCGTCTGCCAATTCCACTTTCTGGCCCCAGGGTTTTCTGAAGCTGGTGGCTCTGGGGAAAGCAGATTGACACCTGCCCTCTGCAGCCCAGGCTCTGAAGCTTATCACAGCCTGCTGCCGTGTAACAATGTATATGGTGCTGTTGCTGAGAACAAGCTGGAATAGCTCTGTCTGTACACTAGTATCAATTCAGTTGCAAGAATTTTTTCACCTTTACCTCTTTTACATTTCACTGGCTTTCCTAAAAGTAGGAAAGTTGTTTTCATTATAGGCCAAAATCTTTCTAATAATCTTTGGGGAAGCCTGCAACCGTGTTCCCCAAACAGGCAAAAATTAACATCCCTTCCATCATTTAAATGAGCAAATTAGCTGGGCTGTGGTGGTGCACACCTTTAATTTCAGCACTTAGGAGGCAGAGGCAGGTGGATCTTTGTGAGTTCGAGGCTAGCCTGGTCTACAGAGCGAGTTCCAGGACAGCCAGGGCAGAGAAATCCTGTCTCAAAAGCAAAACAAAACAACACACACACAAAAATATGTACTTTGGGGGAGCTTGCAAGATGGCTCAGTAAGTGTTTGCTGTTGAGTCTGACTGAATTTAACTCCTGGGATACACATGGTGAAAAGAGACAGCCCAATCCACTAAATTTTCCTCTGACCTCCACCATTGGAGAGAGAGAGAGAGAGAGAGAGAGAGAGAGAGAGAGAGAGAGAGAGAGAGAATGTGTGTATACATATATGTGTGTGTATGTGTGTGTGTATACAGGCAAAACACTCATGTACATATAAAAATAAATCTTTCTTAGACTTAGCTCTCCTGTCTAAGATGAAAGCCCCAGGCCAAGGACTGAGCTCAGCAGAGTGTGTGAGCCTGTGCAGAAGGTCCTATAGTTTTACTCCTAGTATCATCTCTCCCAAAATCAAAACCAAATTTGAAATATTAGAGTGGAAAGCAAAACAAAACACAAACCCTCCTTCTTCTTGCATCCTTATACAGCTCTGGGATGTACTTCCATCCTTCCTCCCCCAGCCAGGCGGGACACCAGGGCCCTCAAAACCCTGTTCATCTGTCAACTCCTTACTGGGACGTTCCCACTAATTGTGTCCCCTGTGAAATGACGGCCTGAAGTCTGTTGCTCAAAAGTCAAGTTTAAGAATGTCTTTGGGGCGGTGCCCACTATCACTCCTTAGATTCTGGGAAGAATACTAAGGCCAGGAAAACCTGACCTTCCGGTCCCATTGCTAAAGTGTGGAGTGAGAGAGGGAGCCCCATAGACTCCATGGTCCACATTTTCCCTCGTACCCCAGCATACCTCCACCTTACAGGATGCATCTCAATGAGGAAAATGAAGTGGGAGAAAGATTGAGAATATCACTGATATAGACTAGGTGGCTAATGCCTGTGGTCCCGGCACAGAAGGCAGGAAGCAGGAGAATGAAGAGTTCCAGGCTAGCCAGGGCTGCACAGCCAGACCCTGTCTCAAAGACAAACAAACAAATTCCAGCAGGGCCTAATTAGACCAGGGAGGGATGAGAAGTCTCCACCAGACTGGGGTAAACACCCCACGAAAGTTCCTTCCACTCACCCCGCTCATTTGCAAAACAACAGATGGATTTAGTGAATGAAATTAAGTTCTATTCCAGAAAGTCCTCGTCTCTGAAGCCTACCACGCAGAATATCTGGGCTGGGATCTCGCCTCCTCAGCCCACAGCCGACTCCTGGACTCTCCCTGGCTTTGTTGGAAAGTAAGAAGTGAAGGGGAAATATTTTCAAAGTTTGTTGGATTTCAAAAGTGTTTTGTTTTTGCTTTACTTTGTTTTTCCTATTTTCACTGTTTTGGTCAGGAGTGGAGAAAATCAAATCCCACAACAAGTTGTTCTTACTTTAAGTCTCCAATAGGGCTGTCTCAGAAGCAACCTGTCACCCAAACAAATCCTTCTGCCGCCTTGGAAGCATTCGCCGGTTATCAGTCAATGGAGTCTGCTAGTGTAATCAAGTGCTTAAAACAGGAGCCCTTGGAGCCCTCTTTCCCGTGCTCTCTGTGGCTAGCATTTTCAAACAGTCATAGATGGAGCTCCCAGCAGGAGACCTACGCTTTAATATCCACAAGCGTTTTGTTAAAGATCTTTGACATTTCCTCATGGGAACATAATTGGAAGCATACTGTATTTTAGTGACTATTTCACACACACACACACACACACACACACACACACACGTAACACAGCCCAAACCCATAAGCATCACTTAGGTTTTACTGTAGTTCCCAGCCAAACACAAGCCCTCTTAGCTTCTAAATTTCCTGGGTAAGATATATAGCTCTCACCCAGAGCTGTGGAGAGGGACTCAGGGAGGGCTGATTGAGCCTCCAAGCTTATGGGGGTGGAACTGGCTGGAGATGTGTGTGTGTGTGTGTGTGTGTGTGTGTGGTGTGTTTGGGGGGGGGGGCTTCACTTTAAAATGGAGATCTCCCTTT